TGTGATTGGCCTCAGAAATGTATGTCTTTGCATTAACTGTTAATGATTGTGAGTTTTGGTTTAATGGTGAAAAGTCCATTTATTTAGAAGTCTAAATTGGGCAAACCTATTGGACAATAGGAATGTCATACATTAGTGTCGTGGGAGGTTTGTTTGATGTCTCAGGGTGTTAGATTTTTAAGAAGGTTGTTTGTTGTGGCAGAGAGTCCCTAAAGCTAGCGAGGTATTCCTATGTGGGCTTTTTCTTTGTTTGACTTTTTCTCGCCTTTTTTCTTCTCTTTTTCTATTTTTGGTTTTTGTGTGCTACCTTCAGTTGCTACGTCTTCATTTGTGAGCCATCTATACTTTTCTTATTCAGTGCCTAAAAATCATATATACTCGATTGCATAGTAGTTACTAATAGATACATTTATACCAATAGAGAGATTTTAAGTTTTATTAGTTGTTAGTTTAAATATTTACTTATATTGGTTGTTTATGTAGTTTTTTTTGTAATATTTCTCATTATACAACTAATTACTATGGCTACGTAGTTGTATAAGTGGGGGTTGGACATGATAGTTCTTAGAAGCATCAATACTTGAAGGTTATTATAATGACCAAATTCTAAAGTTATGGTTTGCCTTCAACTTGCTTGGAGCATTTCAATTATGCATCAATTGTTCTCTCCGTGTAGTTAACTCTCAGACAAATCGAAAATCTTGCTGATATGTGCTTGATTGTAGTTAAATTTAGGGTTCTACTGCATTATTGCTTTACTCTTTTTACGTGGTTGAGTCTGCTTCAAAAAATTTAGTTTGATTTTAGAAAATTTTGCTTCTGCAGTTCTGTCTTGCCACCAACGCGTTCAATAGATGGAGACGGGAGAGGCGAAGGCTATTTTTGTGTTGTTGTTGCTGGTTTAGGGATCGGTTTGTGAAGAAGAGGGGGAAGAGAGGGGGAAAGGGAAATGCAGGAGAGGGGGATAACTCTTTTCTCCGACAAAAATGGAGTGAAGAAAGGAATTATGATCAGTAAGAATATGGTTATCTTACATAACGGTCTCTATTCTATTTGAATTGAGCTTGAGAGGCAGTGATAAGGACGAGCTGCAACCAATTCATAGTGAGAAGAGAGCTATGAACTGTGATCATGTCTTATTTCAAGTTAGAAGGTAGTTTCAGTATAAGGATTATTTAATTTGACAAGTTGTTTCGTCCATGATTCTTGGTAGTTTCAGTGCCATTCTAGCCAATGTTTAGTCTGTAATTTTTTAGAATTGATGTGCGAGTAATGACTTTCACTTAGCTTCAACTATTATGTGTGTATTTATTGGCATGTGATAGAATTCTCTTTTCCTTTTCATTGAATTCATTTTCATACTCTAATTGTATTATTTGTACATAGGCAAATCATGCTCGAGATGGCAACTCGCTGATATGGCTGGTGCAAGGAATGAAGCCATCATTAGAATTCAGACCGACAACGGGGAGGGATGCCCAGGACTAATTCAATGATGATTGATGATGGTATAATAAAAACTGCAGTCTGCATCAGCACCAATTTCTAGGCCTAAGTAAAGGTATTCAACCCAGAACTCTGCTTAGCGCTAAAAATTGCCCTCACCCAACCTTGATCCTGTTTGACCCACTTCTGAAGAGTCAAGATATATGACTAATCCTCCCCGTTCGTATTTTCTTATTGACTCTTTCTGACCCTGTAGGTTGGGGCGGGTCGGGAAGAATTGGATTAGTGGGTCGGTCCTAATCAAGTGGAATCCCAATCCCTTCACTCTCACTTGCTTTCTCTCCCATTCCACAAGTGGGTAACATACAGTAATCCGGCCAACGGGCCGGGTAATAAGCTAGTTGCTGTTGTTAAATTATTACTGAGTGTAGTCTTTCCACACTCTCCCTCTCAAATAGTCCAATTGCAAAGATAATCCGATGCAAGGGGAAAAAGTTTGCAAACAAATAATCATCCAAAAATTGTAAAACTTAAAGAAATATATATTTTTTTCGTTGAATTAAAAAAAAAATATTTTCGTTCACTATTTTGCATAATTTCTAGCTATTTGTTGAAAATAAAGAACCTTAAGAAGACAATATATTTAATACGCTCGTAATATATTATGAACTGGAATTATAATCAAATGCACCATAATAGGGTCTAAAACTTAATGGACTAATGTTACTGTCTAAAGGAGAGACAAATTATTATTAATATTCGCACTTTCGTTTATCTCCTCAATAATGTCTTATTTTCCGCATAAACAAGCTTTCCAAGACATTTCTTAATTCTTACTATTCCTTGGCCTCCTATACCTCTCACAAATGGGGCATGACGTACTCACAAAAGAATCTAATAGAAGAAATCGTTAATCCAACAATTTGAATCCACAAAGTGAGGAGAGGTCATAGTGAATTCAACAAGATCTTTGACGTCAATATTTATGTTGTAGTGGGAGAATGGCCTTAGGTACACTACTTTTAGTTGATGGCTCTAGAACGTAACAAAATTGAAATCTTGCATGATTACTACGCATATGTGTCACTGAAACAAACACTCCATGTTGACGTGTACTCGGTGCTAGAGGAGGAGGAATCGAAGAGAGGAAGAGACGAGCCAGAGGAAACCACACTCACTCAAAGATGAAATTACCCTTTACTATCTCGATAAAAAAAATCATCCCATACGTTCGATATGATTCTGGTTTAAAGCTAGATGATATCTTAGATTTTATTTTGAAAACCTCAATTCATATTATAGGGAAAAAAAAACAATAAATACACAGAATTCAAGTGGTTGAAACTCGCCACGAGAGAAAATCAAAACCCTCCTCTCCCAAAATTAGGGTACAAAGAAAGAGCTTATTTGACCATAAGTGAGAACAACCAATAAATCTAACACCGAAATGGAAAGAGGGGGGAAAACAGGCAAGATCAAAGTATAGAGAATTTGTGCTATAATGAATGATTATCCATGTATGTTGTTGAAGTGTTCCTCTTTTGATGGATGAATACAATTCCCACATTATTATTAATAAAGTAGTAGATAAGACATCCATTCTCCCTAGTTTAGAATGACTTGGCATAACCAAAATGTACAACCTAACTTCCAAATTCATCACAAAGGTAAGCATGGAAGTAAACAGAAGCCAAAATATGAAAAACAGTAATGTTTTCCCTTGGTAGCCAGCCACTTGGTTTGCAGAGCAGTAGAAAATCAAAGCAATAAAGGAAAAGTTCAATGTCAAATGTATATTTATTTCATGACTTCATATAAAGTCATCACTGGCCAAATGGTAGCTGTCTTTTCTTTCCAGCAGCCTACAAACTTCAAAATTATCAAATCACAACCCTCACAAGCAACTCATGAGCACCGTTTCAAGCTATTCTGCTCCACCATCCTCTGCAAGAACAAGAAACCATGAATCAATGTTTATGGGTTCACAGCAGCATGCATACCAACCACCCTATTACTCATTCAGCCAACGTGCACAATGTAGATCGCTAGCAAATATAATCAAAATAAAGCAAACAACTTGAGTACATCAAACAAATCTACTAGTTGCCAGCACTAGCTTTGGCAAACATGCACCTAACTAGAGGTGGCAATTAGGATCCAAATCCATGAATCCAATCCAATCCATCCACCAAATTATCCACCTAATCCAATCTATTTAAATCCAATCCATTTGATCCAAATCCAATTGGATTGGTGGATTCATGGATCAATCCATGGATCCAAATGGCAAATTACGATTTGGTACCTATATTTTTTATATTTTACATTTTGGTACCTAAAATTTATATTTTTATACGAAAAATATCATTGGAAAATTACATTTTGGTACCTAAAATTATTCATCATGACATTTTAGTACCAAAACTTTTCAAATTTTACATTTTGGTCCAAACCTTGGATGTCATTTGGATTCATGGATCAATCCACCAATCCATTTGATCCAATCCATGAATCCACCAATCCATTGGATCCAATCCATTTGATCCATGGATCCACCAATCCAATCCACGAATCCACGAATCCGATCCAATTGCCACCTCTACACCTAACACATTTGCAACTATGCGAACAAAAGTGAATATGGGTAGAAATCACATATAGATGATATAGTCAATTCTGACATCTAGGAATGCTACTCGTGAAAGAAGATTATAAGAAGATGAAACACAGAAATAACAAGATAAAAACAAACCTAAAAGGATCAGATAACCGCTCAGAACAGAAAGAACGGGTCGCATGATCCATGCTCAATCATGTCTCGGTTCCCCTCTTAAATCGATTTATCAAACAAAACTTGCAAAACGAACACAAACTAAGAGGACCATGGACATTTTTATCTCTGAAAATGGATCTTCACTTAATGCACCAACAAATCTAATGGCCTCTTTTGAGGTTCACATCACAGACGTGAATCCGAAACTACATCCACCTCTACCTTGAAGCAAGTAACCATGAACAAGAAGACTACTATGAACACAATGATCCACTTTCCCTTCTTAACTCTATCACCAACTAGAGGTGTGAGATGTCCCAACATTCAGTCAGAAGAACAGAAACCAGCTTTAAAGATTCAAGTTTCAATAATGAACGGAAAGACGGAACCGGGATCATTTGGGGACACACACAGAAGATCACATTCTCAATAATCAGAAAACCATACAACAGTCAATAATTACCGCATAAAACAGCATGATCCCTATTGAGTATTGACAAACTATTGAATTCCCAATATCAGACAAACAAACTCCGAGCCGACGAAAATCCAAAAGGAGAAAAGTAGCCCGACCTATCCAATCAAATACAACAATGGATCACTATGATCGGCTCATTTGTCATTGATACTCTATTCACGATCTATAGGGGTAAATCAAGCTAAACGAAACAAATACATTATCGCCAAGGAATACCCAAGATCTTGCTTTCACGTTAAGGAGGAAACAAAACGAAACAAATAGCAAACGCTACCTGAATTGCAGAAAATCGAACGAGACAGATCAGTGGCCGCCGTGCTCTTTGGCGTGCTGCTGGTGCTCCAGATGGCGTCGCTCTTCAGGGAGGGCGACGAGATAAGAGAAGACCATCCCGCCGAAGCAGACATGTAAGAGCGGGTCGACGGAGCTGGTCTGGATGTACTTGGCGTGGTAATTGTCCAGTCCCTTCTGCACGGATTTCTTCACGAAGTCGAGAGAGAGCATCGGCTTCACGTGGTCGGGAACCTCCTTCACCTTCAGCCCCTTGATCTCGTTGTAGAACCTCCTCATCGCCATTTTCCCTCTTCCGATTACGTTCGCGCGAACCCTAGCGCCGGACTCGATTTCGGATTGGGAGAGTTTGGGGGAAATGCGGGGATCGGAGACGGGCAGCTGAGTGTGTTTGTAGAGAAAAGAGTTTGATGGGCTCATAATATGACCTGGATGGCAGCGTGATGGGCCTTCGGTCCACCGCATGATGTGAACTGGACCGACAATTAGCCGTCTGATCTTTTGGCACAATTTTGAAACCCAACTCATTCTTATATGAAACCCAATGATTGTGGAGATGTTGCTACACCGGGAATGCATCTATCTATCTACAATCTAGATCTAGTCTAGTCTAGATAATAAATAAAAGCCGAATGATGAAAACTGTTGCTCCATTTCAAATTTCCTGCAACGAGAGTGATTATAGGAAGGATATTTTGGTCTTCACAATTGCTTATTTTCTTATTTATTTATTCATAAAAAAGGCATGCACTAGGATTTGAACCTTGGTCTCTTTAAAGGCAAGCAAGGATCATAACCAATCACACTAAGTATATTTGTTGTATCTATTTAAATTCAAACATACACAAACCTAAATTATGAAAATCATATGACTTTTTTAACGATTAGTTGGCCACTGAATCTCCCGTAAGTACTTATTTGGTATTTTAATACTTTGATTATTTTAGTTGTAGTTTAATACTTAATTTAAATTTCTATCTATTTTATAAATATACAATAACCCTAAAATTGCAGCCCAAATATCATTGGTTCGAATATTGCATATCGAATTGCAATATTAAACATGTAGAAGCAATATCGACTTCTTAAATTAATATTATTTTTCAGAATTACTATGGAGAAATTATATATTTGTGCAAACTATATGAGACTGGTTCTTTTAATGTTTTAGTCGGGATAACCGCTACATTTTAAACTTCTTCATAATCTGGCATGATTGGATCCAATGATCATTATACAAGATTGTGTTTAATAGGGTGGCTCATTTCACCACTTTTTGGCGTGTTAATGAATTTGTGGGACAATGACAGGTCTACATCTACACTCATCACAATCTACACATCATATAAATGTGAAATGTGAAATGAGAAAAGAGAGATTCCATTTCAAATTTGATGCGTACAAAGCAATTTTTTAGGGGTAAATTTAGAAGATGCCAGTGCGGTCGGTCTGTTGAGCACGAAAGTAAAATATGTTTCATTTAAACGGGCCCAAACTGTTATTTGGCCCACTAATCGTGCACCCATCGCCAATGTAGTCAAATTCGGGATTTTGATCGTAAAATCGTAGGATTTTAGGATTTTACTTAGGGATTCCGATCTTGATTTTACTATAAAATCGGTGGACCTTAAAATCGTTTAAAATCGGGACTAAAATTGTTAAAATCGTAAAATAGTACCGAAATTGGGATTTTGATCGTAAGAGAACAAAATAGGTGGTTTGAGCCAATTTAAAATAAGTATAACTGTTTCAGCGGAAAGGGCAATGGAATCTTCTCAGATATTTTTCTATTAGAAAAATATTCAAAAATAATAAAAATAACCAAATTAGGGTTCGGTTAATCTCTTTCCCTTCACCCTATTTAACTTATTGGTAAAACACCTGTCCTAATATTGGAAGTATGTAAGAACTAACATCATTATTAACTAATTAATTTATTAATGAATATATTTGTACCAAGCCACTAACATTACTTATTTTATTGGAGTTCAATTATTTTTAGTTTTAAATCATACTTAGTAGACGATGTCGAAATATTACTTTGAGTTAAACAACCTAGACATAACATGAAAATAAGAGCCAAACCCATGAACTATATCCCTTCATCATGAATTATTTTGAGTTACACATTAAATAACAATTAAAATAGTGATTTTGGAACATTAATCTTGAGAATTATCTTATGGAAAAAAAATCTTCTGAATTATCATTTTAAATGCTAGGTGTCTTTGTGATATTAATAATTTACCTTATTAATATTCTTATATGCTATGTTCTATATGGTACTTAAAATCCTACGATTTTACGATTCGATTATACGATTTTGATTTTACCCCAGTTTTCGATTTTAGGTAAAATCTCGATTTTAACTGTTTTGCCCATCGCAGCCTCTCCAAATCTTCCTATTCTACTCGCCGGGTCATCTCCTCCACTACAAAATATCTCCTCATGTACTCAAAGTTCTCACTGAAACCTAATATCTACATTTTAGGCGCAGAGGGAGCAACCGATGGATTGTAGCAACCCCCACTATTTTGATAGCTAATCAAGAAGAGCGTGTTTGTTTAGTTGTATGGTGATTGACTTAATTAACAATTTTTATTCCGTTGACAGCCTCCTCTCCGCAATTGTATTGTGTTCACGAAGATCTGAAGGCGCAAGTGCAACAGGTCCAGGGGTAAACAATATGTATAAAGCGTTGGCCAAATTGAATTGAGTCATTCTACTTGGAATATGAAGATTTTTGCTTAATTGCTTTGGTTCGTGATGCAACTATGTTATGTTTGAAGGTAGACCAACGCAAACAACAGCACAGCTCCAGGGCTATTCTGCACATTAGGTAGTTGGGGCATTAATTGATAATTATTTGGGATTATTCCTACAAGTACATAATTTGGAACGTGCCTTTATATTGCATTGATTAATAGTTGTTTGAGATTTTTCAAATGAGTGATTTGACATGTTAAACTCTCTTATTTTTGAAAATTGAGTCTTCGAAGTGGAATATGAAGATTTTGGATTAAGCTTGGTTTCGTAACGCCCTTATGGGTGTTTATTCTCTAAAATGCAGCTGTCTTTCAAAGTGCCCGTTGCAAATAGCAAGTCAGGATACAACGATGGTACCGGTACACGTTTATATCATTAGTAGGTAGCAGATTGTGTCCATTCTACTATATCATTTAGCTAAATACTTAGTTGTTCTTTTCAACTAAAAATTATGCTTAAATGCTGTGATTGGCCTCAGAAATGTATGTCTTTGCATTAACTGTTAATGATTGTGAGTTTTGGTTTAATGGTGAAAAGTCCATTTATTTAGAAGTCTAAATTGGGCAAACCTATTGGACAATAGGAATGCCATACATTAGTGTCGTGGGAGGTTTGTTTGATGTCTCAGGGTGTTAGATTTTTAAGAAGGTTGTTTGTTGTGGCAGAGAGTCCCTAAAGATAGCGAGGTATTCCTATGTGGGCTTTTTCTTTGTTTGACTTTTTCTCGCCTTTTTTCTTATCTCTTTTTCTATTTTTGGTTTTTGTGTGCTATCTTCAGTTGCTACGTCTTCATTTGTGAGCCATCTATACTTTTCTTATTCAGTGCCTAAAAATCATATATACTCGATTGCATAGTAGTTACTAATAGATACATTTATACCAATAGAGAGATTTTAAGTTTTATCAGTTGTTAGTTTTAATATTTACTTACATTGGTTGTTTATGTAGTTTTCTTTATAATATTTCTCATTATACAACTAATTACTATGGCTACATAGTTGTATAAGTGGGGGTTTGACATGATAGTTCTTAGAAGCATCAATACTTGAAGGTTATTATAATGACCAAATTCTAAAGTTATGGTTTGCCTTCAACTTGCTTGGAGCATTTCAATTATGCATCAATTGTTCTCTCCGTGTAGTTAACTCTCAGACAAATCGAAAATCTTGCTGATATGTGCTTGATTGTAGTTAAATTTAGGGTTCTACTGCATTGTTGCTTTACTCTTTTTTCGTGGTTGAGTCTGCTTCAAAAAAATTAGTTTGATTTTAGAAAATTTTGCTTCTGCAGTCTTGTCTTGCCACCAATAGATGGAGACGGGAGAGGCGAAGGCTATTTTTGTGTTGTTGTTGCTGGTTTAGGGATCGGTTTGTGAAGAAGAGGGAGAAGAGAGGGGGAAAGGGAAATGCAGGAGAGGGGGTTAACTCTTTTCTCCGACAAAAATGGAGTGAAGAAAGGAATTATGATCAGTAAGAATATGGTTATCTTACATAACGGTCTCTATTTTGTTTGAATTGAGCTTGAGAGGCAGTGATAAGGACGAGCTGCAACCAATTCATAGTGAGAAGATAGCTATGAACTGTGATCATGTCTTATTTCAAGTTAGAAGGTAGTTTCAGTATAAGGATTATTTAATTTGACAAGTTGTTTCGTCCATGATTCTTGGTAGTTTCAGTGCCATTCTAGCCAATGTTTAGTCTGTAATTTTTGAAAATTGATGTGCGAGTAATAACTTTCACTTATCTTCAACTATTATGTGTGTATTTATTGGCACGTGATAGAATTCTCTTTTCCTTTTCATTGAATTCATTTTCATACTCTAATTGTATTATTTGTACATAGGCAAATCATGCTCGAGATGGCAACTCGCTGATATGGCTGGTGCAAGGAATGAAGCCATCATTAGAATTCAGACCGACAACGGGGAGGGATGCCCAGGACTAATTCAATGATGATTGATGATGGTATAATAAAAACTGCAGTCTGCATCAGCACCAATTTCTAGGCCTAAGTAAAGGTATTCAACCCAGAACTCTGCTTAGCGCTAAAAATTGCCCTCACCCAACCTTGATCCTGTTTGACCCACTTCTGAAGAGTCAAGATATATGACTAATCCTCCCCGTTCGTATTTTCTTATTGACGCTTTCTGACCCTGTAGGTTGGGGCGGGTCGGGAAGAATTGGATTAGTGGGTCGGTCCTAATCAAGTGGAATCTCAATTCCTTCACTCTCACTTGCTTTCTCTCCCATTCCACAAGTGGGTAACATACAGTAATCCGGCCAACGGGCCGGGTAATAAGCTAGTATAAATAAAAGCCAAATAATAAAACTTGAAGCTCCATTTCAAATTTCCTGCATCCAGAGTGAAAGTAGGAAGGGTAGATTCGTCTTCACAATCACTTATCATTTTCTAATTTACAGAAAAAATACATCAGTAATGAGATTTGAACCGTGGTCTCTTCGAACAAAGACAAGAAACATAACCAGTTACAATAAACACATTTGTGTGATATTTTTCAAATAAAAACACGCAGAAGCTTAAAGCTAAAAAATATAAGACTTTTCCACCATGGTTAGCAACCGAAATGTCATTGATTCAAATATTGCATATATTGAATTGCACTTTTGAATATGTAGAAGCGATGTAGAATTCTT